TACTTTAAGTGCATAAGGATGTGTTGTTAAGACCATCTCTGGATTGGCACGAATTTTTCAAGATTTAGACTGGCCAAATCGGTTCAGCCGTTTTAGAGTTTTACCAATTCATTTGATCGAGAGCTCCATTTTTATATATAAGATATATATAATATATATATATATATATATATATATATATACAAAATATTTTTCGTCCGAACTCATTAAAATATCGAGATGAGAAAATGTATTTTTGGAAAAATCCCATACACAGTGTTTGCCTTTATCGCAAGCATGCAGAGTATCGTATTTTCCGCTCGTGAATTTCATGCTGATACCTTTCACATATTTTAAATCTATTTATATAAAAATGTACACTCGTTATTTTGCAAATTATGAATAAAAATCTCGGTGGTTGCGTGTTTTTGACAGACACGTGCGCATCTCTAGTATCATCAGTCAAACGGTGGAGAGTAATGGAAAGTTTAAAATGATATGTTTAATGTATATATATATATATATATATATATATATTCTACTCGAATTTCTATTACAATAGTTTTCCGGTGGAGATCAAGTTCGTTCAGGCGTCTGTAATAACTTGAGCACCAGCTCAAGGCTTTTACAAGTATCAAATAAGTATAAAGTATTATATGATAAAGTTCATTTGTTGTTTCTCGACGTCTTTATTAAAGTTTCACACTCGAATTAATTAGCTAGATAACTTATACAAAGTTCTCGGGGAACGAGAATTTCATATACGCGCCTATAACTTTGGAGAAATATTGTACGTATAAATATATATATATATATATATATATATATATATATATATATATATATTTGGATACTTTAAGTATATATTGATAATTTTTGCAAATAAAGTCAGTAACATTTCTTTTATTAATGCTGTTTTTATCTAGTAGTATGAAAGCTGACTCCGCAAAACGTCTTTTTTATATATAAAAATGGAGCTCGATATTATGTTAGGTATGCTAAAACTCAAAAACGGCTAAACCGATTTGGTCAGCTTTAACCTTGAAATATTCGTGCCAATCCAGAGATTGTGCAAAGGGTGAAAAATTACTTCAAAACCGGGTAGAAACTTTACATTTTTAATTATTAAAAAATTTTTTTAGGAGCATGTATATATATATATATATATATATATACTTGTATGTATGTATGTACTACATCTTGGGTTCTGTTGCTAAATGCACTTGAGCTAATTAACCGACACTTCAAGTTAATTAAGTGTTGCATAATTGATTAGTTAGTGCAGGGTGCTCTTTAAGGATGCACCCTTTATAACTAATTGAATTTCATTTATTAACGAGACACATGTACAGAATTAGAAACAACGCACTTTTTAACAGAACTTTATTGAAAGATCTTTTTATAAATAGATAATGAAATAAATAAATGTAATTATTTGTATATATAGAAGGTAGAATCTTGGATTTGTAAATATTTTGTGGAGCTTCGAACAAAGAATTTAAACTAGTGGGTATTTTCGCCAGAGTGCTGTTTCAGGGTACTTTTGAATTTTTTTTTGTTAATGGTGAACCAAACTTGATTCATGTTGCCTCATTATTTTGTGTATATTATTAATTTTATAAAAATCTACTGGTTTCTACTTTTATTTACTCCTGTATTGTTTGTTTACATTTTATCAAGATCATGTTTCTTGACATTTATCCTGAAGATGGAACGTACCTATTTCCGAAACGTCGACAGTACATAAATAAAGAAATGGTTTTTTAAAAAACTTTTTTGTTTTTTATTGCTTTATGGATTCTTTATTCAAAGCTCTACAAAATGTTTACAAATTTAAGACTCTACGATCTAATATATATATATACTTTTATGTTTTTGCTTTACATTTATGTATTTATTTTGCAGTCAGCGAATTTTTGTTCTTTTATAAAAGTATCTCTATTATATCGTCGGGCAGAGTTTGAAAAACTTTTTCAAATATTTAATTGAAATTGCCATAAAAAATTAAATAATTTCTGCAAGTTGTAATTAATAATTACTCTCAATCTGGAGTTATTCAAAAGACAAATAATTTTTGTTCATATTAACCACAACTAAACTAAGTTTTTTGTATATTTTTCGCAAATATATTTAGATTTGCAATCAAAACATAAATGTTGTATATAAAAAGACGTTCTCGCCACCTGCCCTGGATAATCAATTTCTATAACATACGTATCTGCTGAAATCATTAATATTATTATAATCACTATAAGTTTCATAATAACGCCAATTTTTTTAACGACTGTTATATAGTTTCGAGAGTTTTGCGTTATATGTATGAGATACGTTTAGAGTAAATCTAAATTTTCGGAAGTTTTTATTAAAAACTATATCAATAGTTGTAGACGGAATTATAGTAGATAAGTTCAAATATATCATATGTAAATTTCAATAATAAAATACGTAAAGTGTGTCCTGAAAAAATTATCGAAACTATTATATAATTCCTTAAAAAATGTACTTGTAAGGCGTAACGTACGTCCATGAGGTACTTTTGGGGAAAAATTTAATTTTTTGGAAAATTTTGTTAAAAACTATATTAATATTAGTGATTATAATAATTGTGGGCACATTGAAGTATAACATATTTGAATTACAATATTATAATACACAAAGTATGGCTTGTACGAATTTTCTAAACTATTATATAAATTCTATAAAACATGTACCAGTAATGCAGTGCCTAACATCCATGAGGTACTTTTGGGAAAAAATGTAAACTTTTGGAAAAATTTGTTAAAAATTAGTATAAGTGTGTTTCATTCTCTTCTTCATCAACCTTCGAAGCACGAAGATCTCAATTAATATATATTAAAAATAATACACCGGTTAATACCGGTTTTTGGGAGAAATGCTACTCGAAAATCGATTCTTTTTAATGTCGGTTTTTTTAGTACAGTCCTTACATCTTGATCATATATAATATCTAAAACTACACTTTACTTCTTTGTCATTGTTTAACAAATGTTTTCAACATCTGCGGTACCCTATCTTTTTTTTTTCATTTTTCTCTCGTCCCTGTGCTACAGCTACAGCTCCCGATGCATTGAACTACAGCTCCGGCTACGAGCTGGGTTTATCATTTTTGTGTCTTCTGTCTAGTGTTTAGTGACTAGTGTCTAGTAGTAGTGTCTAGTGTCTGGTCTTGTTGTTCGGGTTTATCCACCGATGCGGCGGCGATGGAGAGTCGACGGTGGAGAGTCGACGGCCGAAGCGCAGACAAAAGATGTTTTTATGAGATGCTTTCAAAGCGAAAATATTTCAACGGCAAATAAAGGATGGACGAGATATGGGCGAGTTGTTTTTGCCTCTATTGAAACTATGGATAAATAGATTCGTATATAGATACATGCAAATATATGTGTATTATTGGTGCTTTGTTTGCAGGATCGGTCATCGTACTTTGTAGAGAATGCAATACCGATATACCAAATTACCGAATTACCGGTAAACCGTCCGATTTTTTGGCGGCGCATGAACAGCTATATCTTCAAGTGATTCTATAAGATAAACAAATGTCAAATATTATCTCAACTCGCCGTTAAACCGAATATTTATTGCTTTACAAAGGGCTTCATATCGTGTTACTAATAAATAGAATTGGACTGATAAATAATGACGTTTGTTTCATCTTTTGTAAAAATGTAACGGTTTTTTAAGTGATATTTGCGCCAAATATTTTATATCATACAGATTACCCCTGCGTAATCTTATACATAATAATTATGGCAATAACTAAATATTTTTGCTTCTTATTACAATTATAAAATATTATTTTTCGAAAACGTTTCGAAGTTTGAAAATATTATAGAAGCATCGCATTATTTTAAATAGTATTGTTATTTAACAATTATAGTAACTTATTATTTATCTCGACAAAGAATCCGATCTTAAATTAGTGTAGAAAAATTATTTTTTTAAAATATTGGAGATTATGCTAATTTAACACATCGGATACAGACAATACACTTATTATAATAATGTAATATGATCTTTTATGAGTTTTCGGTCTTTCTTACTCATAAGTTTGTTTTTGGTGAAAAGTACTCAATATACTTGATAGCGATAATGAATTTATTAAGTTGCATATACTTTTGTTAAATTATTATTTAAAAAAATAAACGTATTATTTTATTTTATTGTTTAGTTGAATATAGTTGTAGTTGTATATATTCCTTTTTTAGTTTGTACTAGTAACTTTCAATGTTGTTTAAAAAAAAATGCCATTTGGCGGTCAAAAATGATCATTAGACATATGCACATCAAATTATCAGATATTTTATAGAGATTTTAACAATAAGTATAAATTTCGTTTACATTCCTATGGGTTCCGTACCAGTGTTTATCCGTTAGACGGCAACGCGGCGCTTACGCGCTTCGATATTTCGTCTCTATGCAGTTAAAGCAGTACGATTGCTTTGAAAAAAGTTCAGAATTTCCAAAATATTTCAAAATACACTTTTCTTCAAAAAGTCTTTTTATCAAAAAAAAAGTAAATTTTTGTCAAAAATTTATAGTTTTTTAAAAATATAATTTTTCAGAGTAAATTTTTTTCAAAAATGTTAATATTTAAAAAAAAAAGAATTTGGTACGGGAAGTTCCAGCAATTTGCCTTAAGGCACGATGCCATGCGCCCCACTAGTTTTGATTTTATTATAAAAATTCAGGTAGACTATGATACAATCCTCTCAAAGAATTATGTAATAAATAAAAAAACAAAGTTTTTCCTCGGATTCAAAAGTTTTCTTGGAGCAATCTACGAAAACACAGTCCCTGGGAACACTTTGCAAAATTATGTGGAAACTTGTATAAAAAATACAATACCAGTTTTAGTATTTTATACATACCATCAGTGTGTATGATACAATAATTGTTTCATAATGAAAGTTTATAAGAAGCTTTCTTAATTCTTTCTTAATAAAATACTTTGGTGTTTTTAATATATTTGTGTTTTTATTTGCAGATAAAACGAATTAAAAGGTAGAGTCATCTATGGATCATAAACTGCAACGACTTGGGATGAAAATGGTGCATCAATAGGTAAGTTTTGATATAAATTTATATATATATATATATATATATATATATATATATATATGTGTGTATAAATGTATATCTAGTATGTATAAGACGTCACGGGGTGTTTGTCTCATAGCCGAAAGAATAAAAGTAATAAAAAGTTCCAAATAAAAAATTATTACATTCCATATATCGCCTCCCGTGTAAGTACTTCACAAAAATAGGGGAAAACTTTTAGATTATATATATACATATATATATATATATATATATATATATATACAAAGAGAATATTTCATCTTTTCACTTCTATTTCCAATTCCTTATTATATAATAACTATATGATAACTTACCTCAAACGGTTCGTTTGAAGCGACTTAGCATGTTGCAAACTTAGGCAATTAATAATGAATTTAAACCAAAAGTCCCGTTCGCATAAATCTTACCTAACAGTTATAATAATTTAAATCTTGTTACGGAACTTTCCAAATGGATGAGAAGTCTCCAGCTCCACCACATGTGAGGACAGAACTTTGGTTTTGGCTTTCAAGTTTCCTTATCTCTATCTATGTTGAAGAGGCGAATTATTTTTCTCCAGCAGATTGGTTCAATTTTAATTTATATGCTAATCAAAATGTCTTTCTTGTCGTCGAGAATTTTCATGTCTTGTTGATGAACTGTGTGACTTTTAACAATTTGGAGTTAGTTAAAAGTCAGTCAATGTAGATTTTGGCGGGTAAAGGAAACGGCGGAGAGGTAGAAGGTTTTCATAGGACGGTAGTCTGTGATAAATTAAAACTAGTGTAACCGCCTAAAAAAAGGTAATTTTCGGAAATTTATATTAAAAAAACTACTTTAGCAATCATTTCAAAATTATAGGAATATATTTATACATGTTTTAAGAATACATAGTAAAATTTTTGAAGAAAACAATTAAATATTTTTTAAGTTATCGTCGATCTCCAACGGCGCGACAAGAAAGGCCCTTCACTGCTGCAGTGATTCCGGCCTTCTACGTGGATGAAATTTAAAAAAAAAAAAATTTCGTTAAACTAGATAATATTGTCTGTAAAATGAACTACGATGAAGAAAAAAATAAAAAATTGACAGAATGACGGCGTTTTTTAAAAAAAAAGTCGAATTTTACCCAAAATTTTGGTCGTTTTTGGACTGCCAAAATTTGATTTTTGATCCGATCAAAAAATCGATTCGTTATTGTACGGAGAACTATATATAGAACAAGTACCTCCGAAAAAATTTGAAAGTGATCGGATCATTTATTTTTGAGTAATCGCTGCAGAAAATTCGGAAAATACTGTTTCGAGAAAAACGCGTTCAAAGATTAAATGATCGTTATACTATATACTATATATATATACTCTTTAAATGGGTGTGACTCATAAACTATTTAGGATATCGATTTAAAATTTTGGTATGTTATTTCTAAAGGTATAAACTATCGAAATATGGAAAAATTGAAAATTCGATTTTTTGAAAATTTCACACTAGTTGTGCCCCTTAAGGCAACTTTCCGTACCAGAATTAGATATTCGAGGGAAAAAAATCAACAATCAATAAATATTGATCAATTACTAATAACAATTGTTTTAAACATTTTCAAATAGATACTTATAATCTCTATATATTTCATTGTTCATAAAATATACAGTGACAATCTTATCGTTCAAAGCACTTGAGAATGGTTACATTAGCAAGAGGTGGCGAATGAATCCATCTGAGGATATATTTCTTACGATTAGAATAACGCATTTGAAATATATACATTTTCAACCTTAATTTTAAATTTGAAATTTATATTTGAAGTATAAAACTTTGTATATTTTTGAAAATAAATATGAATAATAATGAAAATAATGAATAATAAATTTTGAAATTTGCTTGAACCGTATAAGTAAACTTTAAAAATTAACAATCTTGGTACGGTACCCAACAAAATTGTAACATAATTGGTACTTAAAATTTTCATCAAATATCTGATAATTTGATGTGCATATGTCTAATGTTCATTTTTGACCTTCAAATATTAATTTTTTTTCACTTTTTCTTCTTCATCTCCGAAACCGCTAGACCTGCCTTACCAAAAATTACATCAATACAAGTAAAATGTTTTTTGAATCATTCAAATCGGGTACTCCGTTCTCTCAAAAACAGAATTGCAATTTTTGCAGTTTTTGTCCCGCAACTCCAAAACGACTGGACGTGCCTTAAAGTTAAAATTATTTATTTGAAATAAATGAGCTTTATAATTTGGCTAGAATAAGAAATAAAATCAGGATTATTCCCAATATTCAAAAAAATGTATATTTTTTGAAAATTAAATAGAAAAAAAAATAATTTTGACATAAAAAATCCCAAAAATAATCGTTTTGTCAACACAAGCGGAAAGTTTTTTGAATAATTTAAATCGGATGCTTAGTACTCTTAAAAAATGTTATTTTTTGCACATTTAGCTCTGTGTCTCCTAAACAGCTGGACTTGCCTTTGCCAAAAACTAATCAGCACATCTCCCTATCATAACAATTTAAATGTTTTTTGAATCATTCAAATCGGGTACTCCGTTCTCTCAAAAACTGAATTACCGTTTTTTGCACTTTTTACTGTGCATCTTCAAAACGGCTCGGCCTGCCTTTGGCAAAAACTAATGAGCCTATCTCTTCATCAGTAGAAATTGAATGTTCAAATCGATTGACATGTGCTCTCAAAATCGTCGCCGATGAAAATTTGTATCCGCCCATACATACATACATAAACACACACCTCGATTTTGCCAAAATGTTCATAAACCTTTGAAAAGTAAAGACATGTAAAAATCTTCTTAGTCAACAAAACTTATTCAAGCAGATTTAGAATGAAAGACCTTATCTCATATTTCTTAGAATTATATAAACTGTATTGCAAAGTTAAAATTTAACGTGTAAGTTATAAATATTTTACTACCATTTGCTTTCCCGCAGCGCCCTGTCTATTAATTTTGGATGTTTAGATTTGTAAATGGGATTTAAATTCGCTAAACTTTCGGATTTAATTAAAATACTTTTACCCCGAGACAAGGGGACGACAGGCGTGCGTTTTCGAGGGCCAGAATCCGGTGGAGGAATCCCCGTCGTGTTGACTAATGTGTTATAATAAAACAATTTGGTGAAATGTATCTGGGAAGGAAGAAATAGACCTTTACATGAATTATTGAAGTAAAACTTCTTTAGACGCGACATGGGTGTAAATCCGTACAAATGCAACGGAAATTGTTACGCTAAGCTGAAGTGAGAGTCATTCGCTTTCGATGATATGATTTCTATAGGGGATTTTATACGTGCGTACGTCACCGAAAGCGTGAAGCATATTGTTCAAATTTCCGGTGTTATGTCAAAATAGTAGTATAAATCGTTCGTGAGTTAATAAAAATGTCAGGATCGAAAGAATATTTTATCCCGTCCCCCATAAATAATTGTAGTGCAAATAATCGCAAATAATGAAACATATGCAAAATCTGCGCTGCGTAAGAAATGTAAGTTTATTCAAGTAATTTGTATTATTCGAGTTTTTCGAGGTTACTATATATACCTTTGAGGTTATTACTAAAATGGAAAATTTTATTTTCATTTTTATAGGCAAGACAGATACTACAGTTGCTCAAAGAATGAAACTGTATCGCCAGTCAGTTACTGCCAATTTATTAGAAAAACTTGAGCCAGGTATCAATTTAGATGTTACTGTCAACACCATTGACATAAGGAAGAATCTTTTTTTGCTGTTTGACTCCTGTAAAACGCTACAACTATTCACATTAAACATATTATTCTGTTATCTTTTTAGCTGAAAGTAATGCTGTAAATTTTTCTGATACAGATTTCATGATTCTGCATATAATGTGACTAATAATGTGACAAGAACTGATCTTTTGCAAGAGTCAAATGAAGTATTTGAACTTCCATATAAAGACTTCAATTTGTTTAGGAATGCACGAAAATTGTTTGAAAAACAATTTACAAATGATAGCTTTGGCTATTTATGTTTTGTGTGTGATCGACTTTGGTTTCAAAGTGACTTAAAAATATCAAATGATGCTCAAAAACAAATTCTTAATAATGGCTTTCTGAATATTGATTCAAATAATCAGGTTGGATGTCAAACTTGTCGAAAGGTATTAAATTCGGGTAAAATTCCCACTTTGTTTAAATTTAACGGGTTTGTATTTCCACCTATACCAAATTATCTACCTAAACTAGATACTGTATCTGAAAGGTTAATTTCACCAAGGTTGTGTTTCGTGCAAATTAGACGATTGCGACATGCAAATGGACAATTTGGAATATTTGGACAAATTATAAATGTGCCTGTTGATGTTAATAATATGGTTAATTTATTACTTCGTAATATTGATGATGATCATTGCATTAACGTTCACATAAAAAAGAAAATGATTCATAGATCGAGCTATGTCCAAGGCTTGATAAATAAAACAAATATAAAAGTATGGCTTCAATTTTTTAGGCAAGACAGATATTACAGCTGTACAAAGAATGAGATTATATCGCCAGCGAAAAAGTAAAAAAACTACAAGCAGTCAATGAATGTATGTTAATTTTAATTACATGAAGTTCTTCAAACACAATTGTTACATAATGAGTGAAGTTGCAAAAACTATATTTGTTTAGGCGTTGTTTAACATAATCCACTGTGTGAACGAATATTATAGAACTTATTAATCAGCAATTACTTTAAACCGATCATGTCATATTTAAAGTAGGACTTTGATTACATTATTGTTTGTAAATATTATATATATCTTTAATGCAGTTATAAATATATAATTCATAATTTATCAATATATAAATGTGTATAATGATTGACGACACTAATAAACGTGTGCATCACGAGTGTTACCACATTACTAATAAACATTATTCAAAATTGTTATATGATGTATGTATTTTTACTTAACTTAAATTTGCTACTTTGTAAAGTAGCAAATAAGTTTTACTTCAATCTCGTGTGATCCT